CAGAGAAGTTCCTGGACACCAGCATGGTGGTCAATATGGCTCCCTGAGGTTAAACAGAAATAGAGAGCTGTTATCAAAAAGCCAAACAAAAACACAAGCAGAAAATTAGCATTAGTAGTGCTTCATGTTGATAGTTAGCATTTTATAAAGTGCAGTGACGGTCATAATGTAGAACTGGAATATTAAACCATGTGATTCATTAAAATTCTCAAAGCTGTAAAGATTCATATCTACTGCAAGTAATTGGAAATAAATATACAGCAACAGTTTTAAACAGGTGACGCTAAAAATATAATGTATTTATTTACATTTTAGAGGTTTTTTTTAACCTTTTAATACATAAAACAATCTAATGCTTTAAGATTTAAGTGTTTCTATGCAAGACAAAATAAAAATTTGGAAAGGAGAAATGTTACCAAGCCAGACATTTTGTTCATTTATTGTATGGAAATCCTGGGTTTAAGGAAAGCAGGACTTATATGTTTTTTTTTTTTTGCTATCATAAGCAAATCACACATACGAGAAATTTATATATATATATATATATATATATATATATATATATATATATATATATATATATATATATATATATATATATATATATATATATATATATATATATATATATATATATATATATATGTAGATGTACATCCCTTGTGGAGCAGTGGGGGGTTAAGGGTCTTGCTTAGGAACTCAGAGTGGAGGCTGTGGGGATCAGTCCGGGTCTTTGTAACCTCAAAGGACAAGCACACCGCTCTAACCACTAGGCCAACACTCCCCATATTACAGGACATTCCAACACTGCCAATACCTGGAGCAATTCAGGACTTTTATTCTAACCGTTACCGTAAAACAGCTTTGTTTGAAGTGTTCTCACCTCCATCTCTGGAGAACTGACTCCCTGGACTAACTCTCTCTTCAAACCCTTCACCACTGCAGATTAACCAGCTCCATTCCTCCTATGCTTACTTTGAACTCCCTTCCAGACAAACCCGACCCCCTTTTTTCCTCCGCTGGCTTCTGGGAACATCGTAAACTAAGATCCACCTAAAGGCTCGTTCACACGGCAAGATAATAATATTATTTCTGACAGATCTTTCCCTTCCAAGCAATGTTCTTGCAACATAACTGATCCAATTAATTTATTTGTTTTATTTTAAATGTCATAGTTATTTTGACATTAATAATCTTTTTTTACAATACCTCTACAGAAATATGTATATGTACATAAATAGAAATCATTGTTTTATAAATGTTGATGGGACCAAAATGTAAATTTTCTGCAGCGATAAGAATAGCAGGTGGAAGCTCAGGACCTGGATGGTCCTATTAGCTCTATTATGTAGCTGAGAGATGTCTTCTTCTTGGTCTTACATTTCTCAGATTCAGACAAAACGAAAATGAAGCACAACGAGATGATTATTAGTCAAGATTTTGAGGTTTAGCGCCAATGTTGGAGCTTAGAAAATCACACTGTCACTGCTTTCCTTCTAGACAGGCAAGTTCAATGTTTTCCAAGTGGTTAGGGCATTGCGCCTCGGTCCCAGAGAGTTCAAGCCCCACTCTCACAGACTCCCACTCTGGGTCCCTGAGCAAGACCCTTAACCCCCACACTGCTCCCCCGGACGCCCCACAATGGAAGCCCACTGCTCCCCATGGGGATGGGTTAAATTCAGAGAGTGAATTTTGTTGCTTTGTATTTGTGACAGTGTAATTAATGACAGTAAAGTTGAATTCTATTCTATTCTGACAAAGAACGTTAGCATCTGCAAACAGTACAATTGCAGGTTCAAACAAAAGCAGACAAAAATGAGTGCGCCACCTACTGGCTGAGTTAAACTTGTTGATTTAAGTCCTAACACAACAGTGATTTTACAAGGCTTCCCAATGATTAAAATGTCTTAAATAGTTATATTAAATTAGAGAATAGAATAACAATCAATATACAATCAAAATTTTTTAATAGTATTCAATTAATCTCACTAAAGCAACTAATGTTGAAAATTTCAAATTTTAAACTTGTAGGGAAGCGGCTGTTCCAACTGTTGCAGTTCTGAATTCTCCTGAGTGGTGCTCGACATTACACGAGTGAATAAAGTGAATGTGATTGGTCGATTATCAAGGGGGCAGGATTGTTGTGGCGGAAGGTTCACAAACCCATTTGATTGTGGCTGGTTTATCAGAAGCATCTTGCTAACCAGTTAGCAACTTAGTGCTAGCAGGTTCCCAATGGGAAATTCCATTGGGACCAAGTAGCACTAAATTGGTGACTTAGAAACGACACTGTCAAGGAACGCTATGGACAGAGGAAACATGCAAGAGGAGGAGAGTTTAGTGTCGGAGGTCATGGATGAGTCTCCTCCATCATCCATTTTTTATTTAGAGGAGGAAAGCGGGGACGAAGATGTTGTGGAAGAGGACGCCAGGGCGGCAGAAGCTCGGTTTGGTGTAGAAGGCTTCCAGCCGTACATGTTTGAGCCCTTGCCTCGCAACGCTGCCAGTTCTGTTAGCTCTACGCCTGCTGAGGACACAGACGTCAATCCCCGTGAACACTGGGACGGAACTCAATGGGAAAGGAAATTATTCTTAGTTCTTATTTCAACCGTTGCGTATATTAGCTGCAACATATGAATCAAGATGCTATGACCAAAAAATTTGATTGACAGATGACCGAATGATTGGCCGAATTTAGGTGTTCAGGCTGACGTATAACTAACTGGCCTGCAGAAGATAAAACACGGATTTTAAGACAGGCTTTTTTTTATAGAAATGTTCTAAATTTTGAGACAATATTGTCTGATAAAGACTACATTTATATACATGTTTAAGCCAGAATGATTTGACATTTAAATATGACTTCCCTACGACTTTAACTCAGGATAGTTCCTGCTTTCTAAAGGTAAAATGTAGTTTGGTTTAATCTGTTATTTTTTCTAATCTGTTTTTTTTTTTCCAGTATTACATGACCAAAAGGAATATACTTGTTTTTTTTGTTGGTTTTATAATCTCGTACTGCTATTGGATTGTAAAACATCAGGTTCAGCCAGGATATGATGTCTCCTTGACCTATTTAGCGTTTTCACACCTTAAGTTTCCGCCTGGCGTTAAACTTCTTCAGGCACTCGACCGTCTCCTGTCTGTGCATCATGGAGGCCACAGTGGAGCGTTGCTGTGGGGAGACAGAAAGAGAGAGAGATGCTGAAAATAAAAGATCACAGAAGAGCAGCTCTGGCACTGACAGCTTTATGTGGGCAGAAGCTGCAGGAGAGCCTTTGCTTTGCACAACATGTTTAGTTGATTCTGCAGCTCCTGAGGTACCAGGCCTAAATGGAATCTGGCCAAAGTATTTTAAGTGTTTGCTCAGGTTATGGAGCAGTGCAAGCTGTCAGTAAATACAGCAATATGGAACTACAAAGGTCCAAATTTATCTGAGGGAGAGATGGGAAACCACTGTTAGCAGCTGAATTTTAAATCAATTCAGAGCCAAACAAAAGAGAAACCTTCCTACAAACATACTAGACCTTCAAGAAGCTTTTATCGTTAATTCCTATCCCATCTTAAACTCTATGAGGGTTTAAACTGAAAGTATTAAATGTACACCTTAGGACAGGGCTTCCTAAAGTGCGGGCCGAGACCCACTAGGGGTCAACAGACACCAAGTGGGGTCTGAAGACGATTGTAATTTCATGCCTTAGGTAGATGCAGGGCAAAGTATATCAAAAAATAAATACATACATGTAAAACGACATGAATACATGTAATATTTATTTATCAGTCTAATACATTATTAAAGTCTAAAATGTTCCAAGAAACAATTTAAAAGTTATGAATAAAATAAAAACATTTTCAACTTAGAAGTAAATATGAGCTGAAGAAGTTATACATATTTTTAGGAAGTCGCAGGCTTTGTGCAACTTTAAACGTTAATTGCCTCTATAAGCTCCATGAGTTAGTTCATGAGAGACTGATTCAGGTAACAAAAGCACCTGAAACACTTTCAGTGATACAACAGTACGAAGAAACCGTCTTTTACTCCAGAAATAGTTGTTGAATATTGGGCTGTTTTGTTGTTCTGATTTAGTCCATTTTAGTCCGATAACAGACGTTGAAAAGACGTTGCAAACCCAGTTTTCAATGTCTCTTAAACAATCTTAAAATTACAGCTGTTCATCTTTCACTTATCAACTAAATCTAAACATTTGGACTCAAATCACGCTGTCATTTTAATGTCTTTTCAGCCAGTTTTTGCTAACGGCTCTCCTGTGGAACCAACTACCAGTTTTAGTCCGTGAAGCAGACACCCTGTCTACTTTTAAGGCTAGGCTTAAAAATGTCCTTTTTGATAAAGCTTATAGTTAGAGTGGCTCAGGTTATCCTGAGCTATCTCTATAGTTATGCTGCTATAGGCTTAGACTGCTGGAGGACATAGGGACCCCTATTTCATCATTTTTCGTAATCCATTCTCTATTGTTCCATTGTGCAGAATTTGTTAGTTCAATCTGTGACGTTCTGTTCTCTCTGCTTTTTCTCATACCATCATCTGGTCTGTTCCTGTCTGGCTGTGACTCCATCCTGGATAGAAATATCAGCTGTGCTGCTGCCATCAACACCTTTCTTTATAGATGTTGGAGATCGGCCTGTTTTTAGTGTAGTCCTGTTTCTCTTATTGTGACTAACTGGATGTGTTCTCTTCATCCTCTGACATGGGAGTTAGCTTGGAGCTTGTCTGCCTGGCTGTGTGTTTCCTGGACGGGGCCGCCTTTTACAGCTGCTTTTTTTTATCTCTGCTTCTGTCTCCTTGAACCCCAGTCGGCCTCGGCAGATGGGCGCTCACACTGAGCCTGGTTCTGCTGGAGGTTTCTTCCTGTTAAAAGGGAGTTTTTCCTCTCCACTATCCCTGCAACCATGCTTTGTGTGAGGGATTGCTGAAGAGTGAATGATCAGTTGGTTTGCCTTAGATAGAAAACTTTGAACCAATTAATTTGAATGATCTGTTTGCATTGTCTCTGTAAAGTGCCTTGAGATGACATGTGTTGTGAATTGGCGCTGTATTAATAAACTCAATTGAATTGAATATTTTAATGAACAGCAAGCTGAAGGTTGCTCTGAAAAGATTTACACTTTTATCTTCTTCCGACACTAATTGTCCAGAATTAGCTGGCCTGGTATTTGCTCGTGTCAGAGATAAATTGCATGTTTGGAAACAGATGGTGGGAAGATTTTGGCAGCTCCCGTCAGATGTTCCGAGACCCCTAATTAGTCCTTTACAAACTAGTCAGGAGAAGGTGATGAAATATTGCAATCTGTCAGCAGTAGCAGGACTCTGGATGTGTGAGTGCTACTTACGCAGACCCATGGGTGCTTCAGAGCCTCCTGGGCAGTGATTCTCTTAGCAGGGTTGATCGTCAGCATCTGGTTGATCAGATTTTTAGCCTCAGGAGTCACGGTGTCCCACTCTGGAGAGGGAAACTAACCAAACCCATTCAGACACACACATACGTGGAATGCAGAGGCGGCCACATTTTTTCATTTAAAGTCAGAGATAAGCAGAGGAACAGGGAGCTCACATCGTAAGCTCCAGCTTTGATCTGCTGGTAGAGCTTGTGCTGGTCCTCGTCCCAGAACGGAGGGTACCCGACCAGAAGAATGTAAAGGATCACACCTACGCACAAATATATGTCTTTCTGAGTGACAATCTTTTTGGAAGAGCAAGGAGGCGGCTGTAGAAAGACACAAACAAAGAGCTTACCACATGCCCAGATGTCTACAGGTTTACCGTACGCCTCCTTCCTCAGTACCTCTGGAGACAAATAACCAGGAGTTCCTGCAAAGCCTGTAAACAGAAACAAAGTAGAAGTAGGGCAAAAGTTTCTTTCCTTTAGGGTTCAGTGATGAAGAGCAGGTCTGAGACACAGGATATAAGCATTATGTTCTGCTTTTTAAGTGATTTAAAACAACTGTCTAATAAGGGTTTAAAAGTCGTAGGGAAGCGACCGTTCCAACCGTTGCATTTCCGAATTCTCCAGAGTGGTGCCCGACTTTACACGAGTGAATAAAGTGAATGTGATTGGTCGTTTATCAAGGGGGCGGGATTGTTGTGGTGGAAGGTTCGCCACAAGAATCTTACTTTTAAGTGTTACTATATGGCCCATTTATTGATTTAATGCGTAATAAAAAAAAAAAATTCCGAAGTTAAGAGGACCGCGGCAACCAGCGGCCCTCCGAGGCTAACGGCAGCCAGGGCTAACGTTAGCCCGTCTGCGGCAGCCGTGTCAGAAGGACCGCCGACTCTGATGATGATTTTTTTGTTTTATTTGGCAAAATGTTCATTTGATCTGTGTTTATCTGACTATAATTCCCCCACTAAATGAAAAAAGTCAGAATTTATTATTATTTAGAGGTGATGACGTCCAAAGTACGCTTCTTTTCCAAGTGACCCATAGTTATTCAGTCTGCTCCCGTTCTCCCCAAATTAACCCTTTCCTGTGTTCTTTTCAAGAAGATACTTGGCGAGGGTCTGTACTCGCGTTCTTGTGAAACGAGAAACGGCCAACAATTGGCTCTCCAACTATACACCTGTAAAGGTCACCACTTCTCTACGAAGATTCTTATTTCAACCGTTGCGTATATTAGCTGCTACATATGAATCAAGATGCTATGACTGAAAAAATTCGATTGATAGACGACCGTTGATATAGGATTAGCCTAATTTAGGCGTTCAGGCTGACGTATCACTAACTGGCCTGCAGAAGATAACGAAAAAAACCCAAACCAATTTTAAGATAGGATAAAAAAAAAAAAAAGAAATGTTCAACATTTTGGGACAATATCGTCTGATAAAGAGCACATTAATATACACATTAAGCCAGAATGATTTGACGTTTAAATAGGATTTCCCTACCACTTTAAGTGATGCAATTTTACATAGAAGACATAAATAAAAGATTCCAGTATTTTAAAGTTTATAATGTTCGCTGACGATACAAATGTCTTTTTTTCTGGAAAAAATATGGACGAAATAACAAAAACGGTAGAAAAAGAGTTGTAAAAGCTTATTTTACATCCAAGTAGTATGCAATTCTTCATATATACACACACACATCAATTTCAAACAGATGGTTTTGGTATGGTAATGGTATTGGCCGATACTGCACAGCCAGGTATCAGGTATCGGGGCCAAAAAAGGGCTTCAGCGCAACACTTATCATCAGCACAAACTAAATTCTGTTTCCCAGAATTTCCCGGGTTGTAAACATTGGTGGTGTTTCTATTACTTGAACTTCAAAAAATGTTATATTTCATTGGTAACCATATTTGCTGTCACTCTGTACTTAGCAGTAGATGTGACATGGACATTCCTGTACAGATGGCAGCGGCCTCACACTAAACAAATGTATAAAACTGATATTTCCATTTTTCTCTCCTTTTAAGAGCCCATCAATACTGATTTTTTATGAAAGTAAATAGTAAACGTAGCCGGTTTGTGAAATCACTTTGGTCGGAACAAGAGAAGAGACAGGATGCAATGATCATAGGCTAGGGTATATTTAGATCCAATAACCAAGACACACCCCGCTCTATAATATGCAACATCTAATGGATGAGCCACCACTGCTGTAACCAGACACCTCGCGCCACACCCATAAAACAAATATGCTACAACAATGTTGATGAACTATCCTGAATTCAACATAGAACTTATGTTTGTAAAGAGCTCTCCAAGATTCTGCCTAGGACTATTCAGGTACTGGCTGTTTTGAATATGCGGTCTTAATCCAGTGCGAAGAGGGGTTTAGTCAGCCGATGGGTGTGACTAAACATTGGAAGCCTTCCAGTCCACTGTCTAAAATCGTTAATTAATTAAGGAAACAAAAGCACAGTATTCCAAAAAAAAAAAAAAAAGAAAATTAAAAACAATCCACTGGACAGTGTTTCCAAGTTTAAAGACGTTTCGCTTCCCATCCAGGAAGCTACTTCAATTCAAAGTTTGCTTCCTGGATGGGAAGCGAAACATCTTCAAACTTGGAAACAAAGTCCAGTGGATTGTTTTTAATTTTCTTTTTTTGGAATGACTATGACCTGGATGACTGAGAACCTTCACCAGGATAAAAGCACAGTATTAATACGTCTCTCATGATTCTGCCCTTACTGGACTTTATGGTTCTGTTTAAGTTTTCAGTTACACTTTGATTTATTTAATTCTGTGTTTTCTAGTTCATTGCTTTTGTGGAAGCTCATTGGTAGGATTCTCTTATGGCAGAAAGAAGGACACTTACGATTCACATCCTTTTATCCTCCGGAGGGGGGAAACATTTATTTTCCAATTAGAATTCCTTCAGCTGTCTTAAACACTTCACACGTTCATCGCTACATCGTCAGACATCTCAGATTTCCCCCCAACTCTTTGTTTTATAGTCTCAACATCGCATTACGTAAATGCATATGCACAGGAATATCATGTCGAAAGCTTACTGGAATTCCTCCGTGCTGGTCGAAACCAGGGGTTGTTCTGACATTGGACAGAATGTTTATACAGATGTTCTCTGTTTATGCCAAACCTCCTCATATATCATATAATTGCGAACGAATCAGCCCTTAGAGACCTTGTTGTTACCAAGATTCATACTTGACCTTCAGCCTGTACTGTTAGGATTCAAACACCCTGTCAACTGCATCTTTTGTTGCTAAGTAAGTATAAGGCCACAAATAAGGATATATAAGGCAGTACAGCTGCTTCTATATTTGGCAAGCCAGCCAGATATCTACATTCTACACTTTCCTTTCTATTTAGTGTCATCCATGTTATTTTGTAGTTATATTTAAGCACTGTTGTAATTTATTCTCTGTTGCCCCCTTGTGCCAGTCCTTCCCCTAGCTCCCTTCTAGATCCTTCTGTCCACACCTGCTCCCAATCAGTTACTCCATTCATTGTTCTGTTTGACATATATAGGCTGAATTTGAATTCATGGGCCGCATCCTCTGAAGGCAAGATTCATAGGCTGATTACATCATAGCGCGACGCCAAGGCCTGTTCGGATTGGAAGACTCCTTGTTATACAGCCTACAAATGTGTCCTTCTTTTTGCTCGATTTTAAGGACGGTCTGGTGTTTCCTATGTAGCCTAGGATATCCCGTAATTCATTACGAGTCCAATTGAAAGTCGGCTTGGTCCGGCTTGCTCTCAGAGGAAAAAGTTGCAGAACAGAGGTGAATATTGGAAGTGCACTTTCTTCTAATACAAGTATGTGAATAGTTCTGTCTGCAGCTTCTCTACTGTTACCCACTCTTTACTCCATCCAGACAGTGTCTTGCCCACGACCAAAATCTAATAAATTAGCAAAGATTCCCAAAGGAGTAAATCATGATAATCTAATTAAAATCAAAATAACTCCAATTGGGGAAAAAGTTAAAACAATTAAATGCGGTCTGTTTAACATAAGATCGCTTTCCTCTAAAAGTCTACTAGTTAATGACTTGATTTGTGATAATCACATTGACTTGTTTTGCCTTACAGAAACCTGGCTGCAGCAAGAGGATTATGTGAGCATAAATGAGGCAACTCCTTCAAGCTATTTAAATTTTCACATCCCCAGAAGTTCTGGGCGAGGAGGAGGAGTAGCAACAATCTTCGAGTCTGACTTACTGATTACTCCCAAAACAATTAATTCCTACAACTCTTTTGAACATTTAACCCTTAATTTCCCTGATCCAAATTTCAAGGCAAGAAAACCTCTTCTTTTTGTAACTTTGTATCGTCCACCAGGTCCTTACTCTGAATTTTTAGATGAGTTTTCAGAGTTCCTTTCTGATTTGGTATTAAATACTGACAGGGTCATCATAGTGGGAGATTTTAACATCCATGCTGACATTGAAGGCGATAGCTTAAGAGCAGCCTTTAATGCTATCTTAGACACTATTGGCTTTGTTCAAAATGTGAATAGTCCCACGCATTCTCATCTTCATACTTTGGATCTTGTGCTGACATACGGCATAGAATGTGAAGAAATAACAGTATTTCCTCACAACCCTGTCCTCTCTGACCACTTTCTAATAACCTTCAGGATTACTTTAACAGAGTTCTCCTCCCCCAAAAGAAGGTTCAATTTTAGTAGATCTTTATCAGATAGTGCAGTTATAAATTTTAAAGAATCTGCTTCACTTTCTCTCTGCTCTGTGTCACTGAGCAGTGCTGCAGAGTGCAAAAGCTTAGCTTATTCCCCTTCACAGGTTGATGATTTTGTTGAGGGGGTTGCTAGTTCTCTGCGTATTGCCTTAGACAACGCAGCTCCTTTGAAAATGAAAACCGTTAAAAATAGAAAGCTTGCTCCTTGGTTTAATGCAGAGCTGCGTACTTTGAAGCAAAATGCTAGGAAACTGGAGAGAAAATATCGCTCCACAGGCCTGCGAGAGTCCTTCCTAGTCTGGAAAAATGGTTTTCTGCTGTATAAGAGGACCCTTTGTAAAGCAAGAGCAGCATACTTCTCCTCATTAATAGAGGAGAATAAGAATAATCCTAGATTTCTTTTTAATACAGTTGCCAAACTCACCCAGAGCCATAGCTCTGTTGAACCGTCCATTCCACCTGCTCTTAGCAGCAATGATTTTATGGGATTCTTTATAAATAAGATTGATCTTATTAAAAATAAGATCATAAGCACTCCTCTATCCGCGATTGTACCTGAGGTAGTCATGGAATCTGAACCGGGTTTAGACTGCTTTGATCCAGTTGAACTCTCTGAATTAGCAAAATTATTGTCTTCATCTAAGCCTTCAACTTGTATGTTAGATCCAGTTCCAACCAGGTTATTTAAGGAGGTATTCCCTTTGATCTCC